TACTACACTTGGCTAAATAATAAAGCATGAAAGTTTCCATTTCAAATGATTCCGCTTCCGGATATTTAGTACGAATATATTCGATCAGTCCTTTATTGTAATCCTCAAAATTTTCGTCATATCTAAGGTTAAAGTTTTTATCATATGCTAGATGTTTAGTTAAATTAGTACAGTAATAATAACCGATAAATATCTGGGATACTAAGGCGTATAATATGGACCATTGAGTTACACGAGTGACAAATCGACTTTCTAAAAAAGTATTGATAAGTAAAGACCGAATTTATTACTATAACGATAACAATAGAATACATTGTTAGAATCTAGATCTTGTATTACGTTAATCATGTACTATAGTACAGTACTACATAGTGTATATATATTATATCAACATATCATCAAAAAAACTTGCGTCAGGTCTTTAATAAAAAAAAAAAAATGAGGGCAAATTATTCAGAAGATTGGCTAAAACAAGCTATTTCCGAGGGTTTTATTAATTCTATCGACTATAATGAGTTTATTCGTATTGAAAAAATTGGCGAAGGAGGATTTGGCATGGTTTCTAGATACGAGTGGAAAACTTGTGAATTAAGCGTCGCACTTAAGTGCCTTAAGGTTGATGAAGCAAGTTTAAGTAGAGAAGTAATTCGGGATTTTATTAAAGAGGTGTGTATTATCTGTTATTAAAATCTGAGATTTCTTTCTAACATTAATAGATTAAATTATAAATTAAACTTTTATAACTATAACTCATATAATAAAAGCTTAAGCTATTGCGAAAAGTTTCTAGTCATCCAAGCATTATCGATTTTCATGGAATAACGATGGGTATGCATTTTTAACTTTCCAAAGCACATAATAAAATCATTATCTTATATTAAGTATTTTATTATAAATAAATAGATAACAAAGGATATTACAATATGATTTTACAATGTGCCAATGGAGGTAACTTACGAGAATACCTGAAAGAAAATTTCGAAAACTTGCAATGGACGAAGAAAATTAGTATTGCAAAGGAAATAGTACACGGTCTTATGTTTTTACATAATCAGAATATTGTTCACAGAGACCTTGTAAGTATTTTATATTTAACAATTATGAATAATTAATATTTCTAATATGTTAATCTAAATTATTTTATGTAGCATTCAAAGAATATTTTAGTTCATCAAAATCAGCCAAAGATTACGGATTTTGGTCTATCAAAACAGTTGAACGAGTCAATGACTTCGAATTCGCGTGTTCATGGAATGCCACAATATATTGAACCTAAATGTTTCGAAAACCCAAATTATAAACGTAATGCGAAGTCTGATATTTATAGTTTCGGAGTAATACTCTGGGAAATTTCAAGTGGCAAACCACCATTTGAATCTCTTAAAACAAGAGAATTAATTGCCATTCATATCCACCGAGGAAATAGAGAAGAACCAATAAAAGGAACGCCGCCTGAATATATTGAACTTTATAAGCAATGCTGGGATAAAGATCCTAAGAAACAAGAGATGTTTATGTGACTTTAAAGCAATTCATTGCTGAACAATCACCTCCAAATAGACCTAATATTCAATTAAATGAAAATAAAAATCGACAAAATATTAGCGAAATCACACCATCAGCCCCGCTTTACATACCTTATGAACTATTAGCTAATGAAATCAACGAAGGTCCATCAAATAAGCGAAAAAATAAAAATCAACAAAATATAACTGAAATCACACCGTCATCACCAATTTATTTCCCCGATAGACTTATAGACATGTCGCCTCAAATTTTCACAAATCAACAATACAAAGCAAGAGCATCTACGATTGATATACCACAAATTAAACCTTCCATAAATCAGAACCAAAGTAGAGCCTTTTCGCTTGATCCAAACCTTTTAAAACAAAATAGAGGTAAAATAAGTGAATTAGAAAAAATTATTCGTGAAAACACTTCTTCGGCTTTAAATCTTAAAGAAAAACAAATTGGTCCGGAGGAAGCAAAAGTATTAGCACAGGTTCTTTATAATAATACCAACAATTTTACTTCTTTAAATTTAAAGATGAATAAACTTAACGATGAAGGTGCAAAAATTATATCAGAAGCTCTTATTGGAAATAGGACCTTAACTATTTTGGACATTGGTTTTAATAAAATTGGATCTGAAGGAGCAAAATCATTGGCGTTTGCCCTTTCTATAAACAGAACTTTAGTTTCTCTTAATCTTTGTAGTAGCAATATTGGATCTGAGGGAGGAAAAGCATTGGCGGATGCTCTGGCTAAGAATAATAAATTAAACTCTTTAACACTTACAAACAATAAACTTGGACCCGAAGGTGGAAAAGCTATAGCAAATGTTCTTCCCAAAAATACAACTCTAACTTCTTTAAGTATTGGAACTAATAATATTGGTTCCGAAGGAGCTAAAGCGTTTGCAGACGCTCTTCCTAAAAACAAGACCTTGAAATCATTATCGATTGAAAAGAATCAATTAGGTCCTGAAGGCGGGAGAGCATTAGCAAAAACCCTTCCGAAAAATATTACTCTAACTTCTTTGGACGTTAAAGAAAATCAGTTTGATCCAGAGACAAAAACAATTTTAAATCAAGGTCATAGTAAATATGTTACCGTGACTTTTAAATAATTCAATGTTTTAAATTTTCAAAAAAAAAAAAAAAAAAAAAAATTAATAATAATATGTTATGCACAGAATAGTAGATTTTTTGTATCTAAATTTTTTAGTTCGCATTATATATATATATATAATTAAATTGTATTATAAAATGAAAAAATAAAAGTTAATAAAATATTCATATGTTAAAGCCATATAAAGTTATTATATGTATAAATGTTATACGCGAACGGAATTTTGGTAGATTTAGAATCAAACGTAATTTGATTCTAAATACGCTTAAGTTAAACAGAAATTTTTAATCCATTAAAAAAATTTCGAAGTTAAAGTTGATTCTGAATCAACTTAGCGTATAAACATTATTGTGGCTTGCAAAAAGATGTGGCCACATGATTTCTGTGATGATGTTCTGAGAAAATCTCCGAGATTTTAGATTATATTTTCGAATGGTTACGTTAATGTTTCTTTGAAATCGATAAAATTCTTAAAATTGATGGAATCTCCGATTCCCGTACGACATAGTGATCTGTAGAGGCCACATCTTTTTGCAAAGCGCAATAGTTGAGAATTAATGATTTTTGTAATTTAAAATTATTATTTAGTAGTACTTATCATTATTTATTCTAAATCAGTAAAATTTGAGGACTATTGTGTCCGCAGAATCATTTGCTCAATCAAATTTCAATTTTTGAAATAATTTCAGATTTGTTTGGCTATTAATGGAACGTTAACCATCCACGTGATTATGAAAATCGGTTTAAATAATAATTAATAAATAGAGCCAATCAACTCAAAGATATGAAATGTGAGAAATTCTTTGAGAATTCATTGAGGTACAGTACATACATATTGGTGGTAAAACTTTGGACTAGAGGTCGTTACTAAATATTTGAAGATACGTATCTATTAAAATGGATCTGTTTCAAGATGATTCGGCACATTAACACAGATAGAAATTTTTACAAATCGTTTATAAAATGTTGGAAAATTAAGGTATGTTTGAGAATTTTTGTTATATATAAATTATAAGTGTTTAGCTGATAGAGTGTATAGAATTTATCAAAGAATAGAAAATTCAACAGTGCACGTTACTTTTTAATAGCCAAATAAATATAATAAAGATAAAGTTTAGGGTTGGGTTAGAATAAAATTGCGAGAGGACATTTTTTCTTAATTACACAACAGGGGTTATCCTAGTAAAATTTGAGATATACGTAATATATAGTACGAAATACGTAGAATCGTAATAACAATGGTAAAGTAAAGAATGATTATGAAAAAAAGAGATAAAGCGATAGATACAAGAAATAATGCAGGCTTCAAAACCCTCAAATCCTTTTGACAAAAGTCGAAATCCCAAACTTAAAGTGAAACCCTAGTGCGAATAATAGATCACGTGAGCGTAAACGACAGTAAGATTGCATCAACATAGCGGGCTTTCATTCTTATTGGCTAATTTTTGTAGATCATCTGATGACGATACAAAATCTGATTGGCTAAT